ATATATATGCCAAATTGATAAATTATTTATAAATTTTCACATCTTTGTTGTGAGTTGTGAGTTTTGCAAAGATCATAATGTTCAATTATTTTCAGATATCTGTTGCCTTGGATGGAAAAGAAGAAAAGCTAATAATGTATGAAAATGTTTTTGATAATGAATGCTACAATGTGATAGGAGATGCAAGTCCATCATTCGACCAAATATCTTTAGGAACTCGGGTTTGTGTACGTCACAATCAAAGCATGTTTGTTGAGGGTGTAGTTTGCAGTATCCTAGAAGGACAGCCAGTACGATTCGTTGTTGCTCTTATCGGGGAGACATCTCTTGAATTGACTGTAAAAAGGGCTGATTTAAGATTACTTCGTCCTCCATGGTGGGATGAATTAGAGAATATAGAACCACCAATGGATAATCTCATGCAGCCAACGGCTATGGATTACTGTAGAGTTAATCAAATTTCTCCCACTCAATTGCACACACCGGTTTCTGTGAGCACTCCTTTATCAAATGGCAGAAATTATGATGATTTCTGTGAAAGTGAAGACGAACTCAGACAAGATAACATTACATTCAACGCTGAAGTAGATGCAAAACTTTCTGGTAGTAGTAAGCGTAGCAGTATGCATAGTAGAGGTAGTTCTTCAAGTAGTATTACACCACGATCTCAACCCACTACACCTCGAAGTCAAGCTGCTACTCCTCATAAGTATAAAAAAGGTGATGTTGTATCGAATCCGAATGGCATCAGGAAAAAATTCAACGGTAAACAATGGAGACGGTTGTGTTCTAAAGATGGATGTACTAAAGAGAGTCAACGTAGAGGATATTGTTCACGTCATCTCAATTTGAAAGGCAATAGCCTTCGAAGTGGGCATTTTCCTAGATCTAATAGTAAAGGAGAAGGCGAAGAAACTTCCAGAGATTCAGAGACTTCACCTAATTGTGGTGATCGAAGAATGACTGGACGATTCGACCAAGAAGAGACTGAAGCTGCTAATATGTTGGGTGAGTTTTTGATTTTACATTGGAATTCTTCATTAATATATTCATTACCACTTGATAAAAGTTAGATAAGGACAAAATATGTATTTGGATCAGTATTTTGGTACTGTAAAATATTTTACAATGGTTAAATCTTATTACAAATGAAAATATCTTTTTCGATTTTTTTACCAAGAAGATTCACTAGTCAGGTAGGATAGATCATATCTACTGCTATTATTTAATTTCCTTCAACCTGTCTTTTACTATCCTGTGTATTCACGGAAAATACTAAAACTTAAAACTATAATTACTGGTCCTGTGTCTCTGTAAACGGAAAATAGTTGAATAGAAATAGAAATGGCTTAATTATAATGACAGGTTGATGCAGGTCCTGGTAGACTTGCTGGGATTTTTGATATATTGGTAGTGAATAACCTACGTATTGACATGTTTTGAGATGTCAAAATGGACATTTTTCGAGCCATCAAAGACCTCATATTCCCTAAACTTAAGCTGCGTCCTCACTGAGTCGACACTGTCGATCGACAAAATTTATCGATCGACATGTCGATTTGTGTTCCATCGAATGTCGGTAAACATAAAAGAGCAGTCGATCGACTTTAGTGTGTGGACGTGTTTTCGACGTTCGACATTCGACAAACCGTTAGTACTCAGTGAATTCTTGCCTTAGTGACATCGTAGCCGTGTGTTTTCGTCGGAGAAATGGAATGGGAACAAGATAAAATCATAGCCTTTATTGAGGCAAAACAAATCTATGGGATTTTAAAACCCAAAACTTTAAGAACAGAAACTTGAGACATGATGCCCAGCATATAAATAACAAAAGGTTGTAAAGCACATAATTTGGAAGTAAAAAAAACGATAAAATCGTCATATTTTCAAAATTTAATTTGATTATTGTTAAAAATACTCGGGAAATCCAAGACTTTAGGCGGTATATACAATATTTAGTTTTACGTGGAGGGTTACAAAAAACTTTGATATTTTTTACTGCTTTATTGCGAACACTTTTTCTACAATTTGAGTTTGTAAAAGGTTTTTATTTATAAACGTTGAACAATTGCATGACAACTGAGAGACTCATGAAATCGCAAAAAAATACTCCTAACGAGTTAATTCTAAATTAATGTTGTCAAATGACAAATTTTAATATATTTCGTATTGCCAAGGAAATTTTCCTTCAGGTGTCATGAAATAGTCTCTTAACGTGTTTCTCACTTGTTGGGCATGCACTGCACTTTTTTGGGTATTCTGGGTAAATCTGCCAAGCTAGAAGGAGTTCCATTATCATTTCTCCAAGCTCCTGGAATAACCTCTCTTGAATAAGAGCAGTCAGAATCAAATGTTCCAGGGGATTATGTTGATTTTCTTCAGGTAAATGCATTTCATTGTCCTGTAGAAGCTTATTAAATATGGTACTACGAAAAACGCCACCATCTGAAATGCGCACTTGGCATTCCACATTAACATAAATAAAATTGTAATTTGCGTCAACTACGGCGAATAAACCAATACTAAAAAATCCTTCGTTATTGAAAAATTCACTGCCGCTGTTTATCGGAGCCCGGAACAATATGTGTTTGGAAAGTTCCAACGATTGTAATAGTCTTCGGCAACGGCTTTCCATTCTGCTTCGTTTTTAGGCATCGAAATAAAGAAAGTTTTTTTATTTTATTTTTGTAAAGGTCAAACTAGCAACAGTTCCAACAGAAGTAAAACAAAAAAATCTTTATATTACAGATTTCATCGGTGTTGGATGCAGTGGAAGATACCAACGATATGGATAATACTGCTGATGAGCAGGAGAATACTCAAGATGCCATTTTAAATAATGAAGAAGGCAACTCTCAAGACTCTACGAGGAGTCATGTTGAACAAGTAACAAAAGTAACTAAAAAAATAGTTCAAGTCGCCAACTCGTGGACACCATCAAGGAAAAGGAGATGCGATGACTCATTGGTCAGTGAAGCCTACGAGGCAATGACGCAAACATTAGTGGCAAAAAGACACAAGGATGTGATTACCATATTTGGCGAAGAAGTGGCTGTGACATTGTGAAATTTGTCCACTACTTATGCTCAAGCTACGGTGCAACACAAATAAATAAGCAGGCTTCTGTTTGAGGCAAAATTGGGAAATTACAATTATCACGTAGCATAACAACCACAGCAGCAGTATTTTTCTCATGCTCATCAACAACACTATAATCCTAAATCTCACCAACATCAATATTTTCCCAGTCGAGCAAATTCTGATGGCTTACTAACGATTTTACCGGTGCAAGAGTCCCCGGGATCACATTCCTCATGCTCTTCTTTTAGCAATCCCCCCACTCCGGCACAATCAACTACTGCTTATACTAAGGATGAAGATGAAGCTGGTAGATCATTTCCTCACCAAACAGTAAACTCCAAGAAGTCATAAGCATAGATATGCGCAAGCACTATTTTCAGTTTGGGTTTGAATATTTAGTTTTATTTTAGTTTCAGCTTATTTTTACTTCTGTTGTACTTACTTATTTATGATTGTTAAAATTTGATTTAAGAAGTTACCATAATTATGTTCTATTTATATGAATCTCGTAAATCTTAATAAACATCTAAGTACTTATCTTAATATAGTCTTGTAATACATCAATAAGGGCATCCATCGCACACCTCCACAACAATTTTAGAAATTGCCTGCTTTGAAGTTTTGAAAAGATACATTAGTGAGTTGCACGAATCTTCAGTTGATAAAAATCGTAATGTTACAGCAAGACGCTCCATTATAGGAATGGCAGGTCTACAATTGGTGTCTTCTTTACAAATTTTTGGCCCGAATTTTGTAATAAATATTCAAATTCACCTTCCTACCTCCGAAAAAAATTTCTAAAACCACCGTTACACCTGTATTCAAGGCTCAATATGTTGACGTCATTTTTTTAAAATCTTCTATCAAATCACTGGCGTTTTTTATCTAGTTCTACTTTCAAGGCTTGGTTGAACCTAAAATCTTGTTTTTTTGGGTCCAATTTTTCTTTTTTTAGTCGCAATAATAATATGCGGCACAAGCAACTATTACATCATCTTCGTCAGACATGTTGATTTCAACTGATCAACAAACATTTGGGTCGACTCGGTGTGGACAGATGCTGTTTTGTCGCTTGTTGATCTAAAATGTCGATCGACAGAGTCGATCACCAGTGGTGACGCACGCTCATATATGTTTAATTGTTTCTGTGAAGTGAACGTGAAAATACTAGATTGCGATCCAAATTAGAGTGAATTCGTTTCGAAACTAGATCAGAAAACGGAATAGTTGGAGAGTAAAGAAAGTAGCTAGTTAACGAATGGAATAGCGACATGAGCGTGGTAATCATAAGTGTAATTGAAGTATTGTAACATTTTTGGCTGGCCTGTGAGTTCGCATTGGAGAAAGTGATCTATGAACTTGATTGATTTTATTCTGTATTACTTGATAGATCTTCAAAACGAGAGTAATGTGTAGGTTCAATACTGACCGGAGATTTCTGTCTTGGGCGTTGAGAAAAATAACTAATTCTAAAAATCGATATCGAAATACTTATTGACGAATTTCAACTTCAAATATGGATAGTACTTCTGGAGAATCTTACGTTACCAACTCGGAATTTCTATATCAATCAAGAAAAACATTGGATTCCACCTACCTTGATACGCTGACGTGCTGCTCCCTAGTTCTTCTCGAACGGTAACACTCTTTCTATCGAGGGTGAGTTTCACTTATAAGACGAGTTAATGATTTTCTAGGACTTTTTCTTGTTAGATTAATGTGTTTTGTCCTATTGCGAGGACAAAGATCAATCCCACTCCCTCGTATACTGAGCTAATTTACTTAACCCTTTTGCTTTGCTTAATAAAACAAGAGATGATATCTTTTCTGATTTATTGGCGAGGAAGGTCAAGAGACAATATTATGTACTTACATAAGAACAGAACAAAAATAATTTACAAAGAGATAAGAAAACTTCTTCTACTGAAATTACACAAAACAATTGATGAGGAATAAATTAACTTTTAATCGCTAACCTTGACTTTTCCCCAAAAGTACCCCAGAATAGTAACTCTAGAAAACTTGAGAGATGAGAACTTTAATATTCTGAAGAACTTTAATAAGCTGATCAAATAACTGACCGTAGATGCATAGATTGATAGATGAAAAACGATAAAATGGCAGACTTACAAGCTTCACTCACTTTTTGAAAAACAAAGAAATCAACAAGATAGAGTTGAAAGAAAAACTGAGAGAAATAATCTTTCGATACACAAAACGAAAGTTTACTTGCTGAGAATCAAAATGTAACTAACTTTGTATTTGACTAATTTCTTCCATTTCTTAGGAGGGAGAAATCCTCCTAAGAAATTATATTTTCTTACTTTGGATTTTTTTATTGGTTATCGGGTGCCACTATCGATTTCGGACCAATCAGATAGATTGATCCTACTATCTATTCGTTTTGAGGGTGGGTGACGCCCACAAAATCAGAATTGAAGTTACCACTTCTGTCGGGGGTTTACAAAAGGTGGCAATACTTGTAGCCAAAATGTGAGATAATGTTTCAATCTGTGTTAATTCAGTTATTCACCCTAAAATATAATATGATGGAGGTGCGTGCATTACTTTACATAAAGCTATGACCTTCCTTCATGAGAATGGCGATAGTTGTCCGTACAGTTATTATCTCTTCGTGGGTAATTGTTGACAATGGCTTATGAAATTTGCAAGAAATACAATCAAAAAACTTGTGACGATCGTCCAGAGGAAGAGATCGTTCTCATGTTGCCTTTCTATTTCTAATTACAATATATGTTCTATATTGAAAAATATTCGTTCAAGTAACTTAATGTCTTTCCAATATTATTCAGAATTGGCCTGGGTCTTTTCCGTCCAGATCGCAAACACATGGCCTATTTCCGTTAAAAGTCTATTTAGAATTTTGAAGAACAATCGATTACAAGGAGTGTGATTTATGATGTCGCCAAAAGAGAAAAGACATTTCTTTTTTTGACAAGGAAAGGTTTCGTTCCCAAGTAATTTATTTTTATTAGGCATTTATGTTTCTTGTCGTAGTTTTACTATTCTCAGAATATTTGGAAACGTGCTATCTCAAGTAACTTTAGAAATATTACATACAGGGCCTTATTTATGCTCTGTTACACATCCCTCCCCTTATAACGTGACATTTTTTTCAATTAAAATAAAGTGACACGTCGGATCCTGAACGAATATCAATCAACTGAACATAATTTTTCTAAACAATATTTTTGAATACACAAATTTCGCAGGAATCCTTCTCTGGTTGTCCTCATTGCTGACTGTAAGAGATGGGCTGGGGAACCTGTTTCAGGGTTGGATGAGAGCTACTTTGGACATCCAGGTGTACCCTACAGCCGCCGTTCACTTTCATTCTCGGGGCATTTCTGGTCATCCTACGTTGCAATTCCACCTGAAACATTGTGCCCTTTAACTCTTCTCGCATTTGTATATTATCATTAAAATTCTACTCTATGATCTACAAATCTTCTGAATGAAATCTTATACTATACTACTATATTAACTTAAAACCTTACTCCCCTTTTTATATTCGCTCCAGCCTAATCCATGGGTAGTCCGGGGCTGGTCCTTTACTCCGGGTGAATATGGTATGAGGTCCGTTGTCTTTTGAGGATTAGGTCATCTTTCGCTGGTTCCTCTTCTTTCTGAGAGACCTGATGTTCAGCCTCTTGGGCGTCTTCTTCGTAGTTCGGGCTCGGAGTCGTGGTGTCTGTTTTTCTTTCTACGTGTCCTAGGTCCTTGAACGCGTCATCCAGCTGTCTGATTTCGGGGTCGTCCAGTTCTTGTTCCTGGTATTCGTCCTGTTGGTCTCCTCTTAGCTCCTGTCGTTGGCTCGATTCGTCCGTTTCTCCAAAGTCGTCAGTTTCAGGGGTGGCCATCTTGAACGACTCAGTTGTCGTTGTCTTTTTGGTCTGAGTTAGCTCATCTGTGGAATTTTTCTTCGTCTCTGAAAAAATCATATTAGTCCCCACCCCTGGTGATTTTTCTCTTCCCACCCGTAATATAATTTAAGGTACTTGATATGGTGCTTTAAAGATGGGTCGACTGTTTTCGATGTCGATGGTGTGTTTCACTAGATTGGTAGCTTTCAAGTTTTTTCCTTCCATCTCAAAAATATCCTGGTATGTCTCTAGGAACGAGTGGAATCTTTCATTTTCTTTAGTTCGTAAATGTTGCAAATTATACATAGGCACTCTTCCTTTTTCTGGTCGATCCACATTTTCCACAACCTTTGCATCTTCTAGCGTCAGAATGGGGGTATTCTTGCGAATAACCTGGGACATGGGAATAGTGTTGAGAATTCGATCGACAATCTCTTGCTTTTGCGACCTGCCCTCTGCCAGGGCCATCACCATGTGGGCAGCACACACTCCTGAAGGTAATTTGAGCGGTTGACAAAGCTTTTCTCCAGCGGAATTCCGGATATCCACTGGAACGCTCACATCGCAGCCAGAAAATGGTGGAATCTCTAGTTTTTGCTGTATTCTAGCCACGTTGGGACCCCTGGGACGTTGACTAGCAGCTGAGATAGTTTCTGGGACTATATAGCTATTTTCCTTCATGGCCCTTGGGTTTTCGCTCTCATCTTTGGTGTCGTCAATCTCTTGCAATTTACAGTCACTCAATAAATCGTTAGCAGTCCGACAAACGGGTACCTCTGTCAATGCGCAAGAATCTACTGGAGGGGTACAAATACTCTCACGCTCCTTTCCTGGATGATCACTGGGCTCTTCAGAGTACTCCCAAAACATTTTCTCTTTTTCACTATGTACAGTTCCGTCTTCTTTAACCAGGGTAGATTCTACCGACAACTTCTTCGACATTATATTTCTATTACAACTAACCGCTCCGCATTGCCAATCATTTGTAGGTTCTGCTATCAATCGGTGACGCAGCAAATCTGTGGGTAATTGCCTGGCTACTCTGAGGTCATGATGATAATTCTTCAAGTCGCTAAGGTGTTGGTAATAGTCCGACATAGGAATAGTACATCCGCTGAGTCTGAGCAAACCCCTATCGAAGTCTATTGTTGGTTTGAATTCATCGAGAAAGTCCATTCCTAGCAGTCCGTCAGAAGGGAAGTTAAGCTCGTCTCCGCAGACTACGAATTCATGACGTATGCCGCAACCGGGAAGTTGAAAATTAAGTTCCACCGTTCCTTCCTTATTCAAAATATTACCAGATATGTCGGTTATAACCTAAGTTGATTTTTTCTTCACTTTTTATTTGAACTGTCTAACCATCCTTCCTTTTACGAGTGAAACGGATGCATCGTTTCAACTCTCGCTTGCCGGCACTCACAGTCAGTTTCCTACCGAAGACACTCCGGAACCACTGCCTCATTTGTTCAGTGATGGTTGTCGTTCTCATCTCGACGTTCCTTATCAATTGTTGTTCCGTCCAGTTATGAGATTGACCGATACTTTGCATGGCGTTTAGGAACATTTCATAGTCAGGTCCTCCCCCATAATTATCCACTTGAGCTGCATCGCTGGCTCCTAATACCAATCGTCTCAGATAGAAATTCATTTCATCCATCGGTGACGCCGCTGGTAGTGGCGTAGTAGAAAATTATGACGATGTCGATGTCGCTAAGGGTTCCGTTGAAGTTGTTCCACTGCTACCGACCATATGGGTAGTCATGCTCGTTCCTGCGTTCATAGTTGTTACCACCGTTTGTTGCCGTTCACCCGATGTGGTGACGGTATTTGCTACCGATGAAGAGTCGCCGGTTGTCATATCTAGCATAATATAGATATGTTTTTTTTTATTTTACTACTTGAAATGCTACCTCTCTAGGAGACACACACAGCTATTTTGACCCAAAGAAAAAAATAATCAAAATGTACGATGAATAATTGTGTTTTCCTCAACTTAGGAACACGTGGTGCGCCCTCAACCTTAACGATGCCGAAAAGAAAAACGGTGATTAATTAACTGTAACAATTCAAATATTTCTTGACCTTGTTGTAATTCGCTTTAATTTGCAAGTTGGGTAATAACTGGAAGATCATTCAGTTAATGACCTATCAGTGCATTCGTGCTTCTTCATTTCTTTTGGCGTTTACCTCAATCAAAACTAACAGAATGTTCTTATTGAATAGCTTCATTGCGAACAGAAGTCGTTTACTTTTTATTATTATTATGTTTTTTTTAAGAACGTGACAATATATATAGGGTTACTTCTTTCTTTGATAGAACAGATCAATACCTAAAATCGGTTAGAATTCTCTAAACGACTCTCTTTTCATTATCGCATAACAGTTCGTTTCTCTTTTAGCAGTCTAGCGAGTTACGTAGTGATTAACAAAAAAAAACATCTCATCTAAAACAAATTAAAAAAAAATCTTATTCAAATACTTTGAAACAAGTGTTTTTGTAGACATACCAAATAAGACTAGACAAAAAAAAGTTTTCTCAACATTCACAAATACTATAGCAATATTGTATTCTTAACGTGATGATCTTTGTCTATCTCCCACCGATATTCAGCGTCCTTTACTTTTTCGAGACTTTTCCGCTTGCTGTGAAACCTCATGAACATTTCACGCAAGGTCATCTCTACCCCAAAATTAACTGAACTGGATTGAGTAAGATCAATAAATCACCAAGTCAAATTTAACGAATCGTATGACATCGTATGGAACTGATTTCGTACAATCAAATGTTAATTTGACAGAAAAAGAACTGCTTGCTTGGCATTGTAATGTTTTTTTTTCTTCTGTTCACAATGGGAAATTTGTACTGTAATTTTGAATATTACCTGTTCGTTAGCCAATTTTCAATTAGAAGTATCTATATCGGGTCTTTGAATAACAAAACAAGTTAAATTTAATCTTCTTTCAAAAGGGTTATGCTACTAGATATCGTGAAAAACTTTCTTTAAGATTTTAACGGTTCTTTTGATGAGATTTCCCCATAAATTTGACCATGAATTTTAACTTCAGTATTCAAATCTTTAATATACAAAGATGTTTCAAAACAAATAATTGATGAATCCGAAAGTATGGCTATGTACTATAGGAAATTTATTTTGACAATGACAACATCTAGCACACCCGCTATACAATACGCATAAGTAACAAGAAAAATATTAATTTACTTCTACTATTAAAATCGTCGGTATATTTTAACCTATAAAAAAATACTCCCATATTTTTCCACAAATTCAACAAAAAACACTAAAGTAAA